GTGAAAAGCTGGCTTAAAAATCAACATTCAAAAAACAAAGATCATGGCATCAGGTCTCATCACTTCATAGAAAATAGATGGGGAAACAATGGAAACAGTGACAGATTTTATTTTCTTGGATTCCACAAAATCACTGCAGATGATGACTGCAGCTGTGAAATTAAATGATTCTTACTCCTTAGAAGAAAAACTATGACAAATCTAGACAGCATATTAAAAAGCAGAGACATAACTTTGCCAACAAAGGTCCATCTAGTCCAAGCTATGGTTTTTCCAGTAGTCATGTATGGATGTGAGAGTTGGAGTATAAAGAAAGCTGAGTGCCAAAGAATTGATGCTTTTGAACTGTGGTGTTGGAGAAGACTCTTGAGAATCCCTTGGATGGCAGAGATCCAACCAGTCCACCTGAAAGGAAATCAGTCCTGAATATTCACTGGAAGGACTAGTGCTGAAGCTGAAACTCCAATACTTTGGCCACCTGATACAAAAAGCTGACTCATTAGAAAAGACCCTGATGCTAGAAAAGATTGATAGCAGGAGAAGGGGACGACAGAGGATGAGATGATTGGATAGCATCACCAACTCAATGGACAAGTTTGAGCAAGCTCTGGTGAAGATGGTAAAGGACAGGGAAGCCTGGTGTATTGCAATCCAACCAGTGAGTCAGACACACTGAGAGACTGAACAATTCTACTTACATAAAAGCTACATATACAGAATATGTATACCCATAAGCATACATAATAGAATGTGTTGTTAGTATTACTATTTCAAACAAATTGTTATCAGATCAATTAAGAATAAGAAAAATAACTTTACCTTTATTCCTTCTTCAGTGCTCTTCTTTAGTTGGACTTTTTGACCTATAGTTTTGCTCATCTCTAATGAAATTTACACATTTCTTGCAAGGCAGATGCTATGGTCTGAATGTTGTTCCTCCAAAAGTTGTGTGTTGAAAGAACAGTCCCAAAGGTGCTAGTATTAGGAATGGGGTCTTTAATAGATGCTTCAGCTATAGTGTGATGGAGTCCTCGGAAGTGGAATTAGTGCCTTTATAAGAAGCTCCAGAGAGACCCCTAGTTTTTTCTATCACACGTGGACACAGCAAGAAAGCACCAGCTAAGATCCAGGAAGTGGGTTACCATCAGAAAACTCATCCATGCTGGTATCTTGATCTGGTACTCCAGTCTCCAACTTAATGGGAAAGAAACGTTCATTAAAAAAAAATAAATAAACAAGGCTGTGGTATTTTGTTATAACACCCCATATGAACCAAGATGGTAGTTTTACTGGGAAAAAAAAAATTCCCTCAGTTTTTATCTCTCTTTATTTTTTAAAACTCTTTATTTTACATTGGAGTATAGCTGATTGGCTTTAAAAGGCTTTGCTTTCCCTGCACAATTTTTGAAGATTATTTATTATTGGTTACTGTGGGTCTTCATTACTGTACACAGGCTTTCTCTAGTTGAAGCCAGTGGAGGGCTACTCTCTAGTTGCTGTGGGAAGGGTTCTCATTATGGCGACTTCTTGTGTTGCAGAGCACAAGCTCTAAAGCATTCACGCTTCAGTAGTTGTGGCCCACGGACTTACCTGCCCCTGGCATGTGTAATCTTCCCAGACCAGGGATTGAACCCATGTCCCTTGCATTGACAGGCAGATTCCCAAACACTGGACCACCAAGGAATTCCCCCTGAACTTTCTTTCTTTTTTCTTTTGAGGTGGCGGCTGCAATGGTGGTCTTTGTTGCTTCGTGCTTTCTCTAAGTTGCAGCAAGCAGGGGCTGCTCTCTAGTTGTGGTGAGAGCTTCTCATTAGTTTCTCTTGTTTTGGAGAACAGGATTAGTTGCCCCATGGCATATGGGATCTTCCAGGACCAGGGAATCCACCCCATGCCACCTACACTGTAGGATCAACTTCACCCATCTGAAATTGGTGAATTGTTAACCACTGTACCACAAGAAATCATTTCAGGACTTATTAATATTTGATTTCCTTTAATTTAAAAATGATGTCTACATGTAGTTTTTAATCTTTAATCCTTGATTTCCTGGAGTTTCAAACTGATGACTACATGTAGTTTTTCATTGCCATTTATCCTGCTTAGTACTAAAGTTCCTGATTTGTGCTTTCTTGTCTGACATTAATTTCCCCCTTAATGATGTAGCTTGGACAACCTAATCAATACCAATATTGACGCTCCACTTTGCTCCAAAGACTGAAACTCTTGATTCTTGCCTCAGAGGCTAAGCCTTGGTTTTTTGCCTCATTGAGGAAATCTTTGGGGTTTACACCATACATGTTGGGCACAAGGTGGGGCCTGCCAGCAGATCAACAAGACTGCATCCTGCCCTCACTGTCCTGCATTGCTCAGGAACCTCCAAGGGCAAGAGGGATCTGTGACTTTGGGCAGCGCATCACCTTAGGGATGAGCTGTGGTAACCTCACCCCAAGAGAATTGGTTCCTCAGCCTGAATGGTCCTACCTAAATTCTCTTGGTGGATGCCAACACACCTAGGTTTCTCCTGGGTCCTCATTACCAACACTACCTTCCTGCCACCTCCTGCTCTGCACCACACCTGGCTCACCCCTTTCCCTCTCCAAACATGGCCAGTGGCTTGGAGAATATAGGCCTTGGACAAAAAGGCCACACCAGGTTCCATTGGGGAACCTCCTGGGCTCTAGTTTTCCTGAGAAGTCTCACCAGGGATGGAGACCCACAGTGGCACCATCAACCAACTGGAGTGTCTGAAAAAGCACCCCAAGTGGTGGTGAACCTCATGGAGGGAAAATACCTGATGCCATCGTCAATAATTACAGAGAAAGATGACAAGAACCTTGAAGAGAGTGTTCAGAGCATAAGAAGCCCATATCAGGAGATGGTGAGACAGGGAAGCCTAGCGTGCTGCACTTCATGGGGTTTGAGTTGGACACGACTGAGTGACTGAACAACATAAAGACTGGATGCCAAGTTTAGTTTTCCACCAAACACCCAGAGGACCCAAGCAGAATTTATCAGTTCCTTCCCTGAGTCCATCCCACTTTCACAACCTAAGAATTTTAAAAATTGGCAAAAGCTACAAAGCAGGGCTAGGTTTATTGTTTCACTGAATGCCTAGACTTAAGTGATGGGAACAGGGATGATACATATTAAAAAAGGCAAATGATATGATCAGCAATTATACAGAAGATATACAGCTGGTAAACAGCACATTAAAAATGCTCAAAATCATGAATCTCTAGGGAAATGTAGTAAAACCAATTGAAAGCTCATTGAGACAGCACTACTCACTTATTAAAAGGACTGATATTAATGACTGGTACAGATGTTGAGAAACTGGAACTTCTACAATGCAGATGGAAATGCAAAGGGGAACAGTCATTTTAAATGAGTTTCTTAGTTTCATCAGGTGTTAAAATTCATCTACCAAAGTGACTCAGACATTGCCCTGAGTTATCAATAAAAGGAACATACATCCACATAAAGAAGTGACACAAATGTTTATAGCAGCTTTATTTTCAAGAATGAAAACCTAGAAGTAACCTGAATACTCAGAAAAAGATGAATGGATAAACAGTTGTACATCTAAATATAAGAATGCTAGTCATCAAAAACTAAAGAGATGAGATACTTGTATACATCATGGATGAATCTGAAACAATTATGAAGCAAAGGAAAACAAAAATAGCCGTTTATGACTCCAATCAGATAAATTCAAGAAAACACACATGTTATCTATTCTAAGGGAAAGTACATCAATGGTTATTGGAGAGGTGGGAAGGGCAAGGAGAGGTAAACATGCCATTGACAGATATGGGCATTATCAGGACTCAAGGTTCATACCTAGGTGAAGACTTGCTTCAGCATCAGTCCTTCCAGCTAATATTCAAGGTTGATCTCCTTGCTGTGAAAAGGTCTTTCAGGAGTCTTCTCCAGCACCACATTTTGAAATCATCAATTCTTTGGCATTCTGCCTTCTTTATGGTCCAGCTCTCACAACCAAAAGTGACCACTGGGGACACCATAGCCTTGACTATACACATCTTTGTCGGCAGAGTAATGTCTCTGCTTTTCAGAACACTGTCTAGATTTGTCATTGGTTTCCTGCCAAGAAACAATGGTCTGACTTCATGGCTGCAGTTTGGTGAATGTAAATTATACTTTGATATAGCTTTAAAGATTGGCTCAAAATGGAAACAACATGTATGTCCTACACTTTTTGGAAAATAGGTTCTGCAACTGTATGCTGAACCCACTAACGCACTCCTCATGTCCTCTGGGGATCAGTCTTCTGTCAGTAGTAGCGAAGATGGAGACAATGAAGTACATTTCTACCTGAGTCAGCAGGAATGCTGCCTAGATCACAAGAGTCACATCCCTTTTTCCTTTCTTGCCTCTGTAGTGAGGTTCTTGAAGTGAAATTCACTAGAATCAGCATATAAACTGATCCTGCACAGTCAATGTCATATAAACATCAGGATGCACTTTTAGGAGAGGTAAATTCCATCAAGTTGCCTGCAATTTCCCCCACTCCCTATTAAACCAGAGTTTCTGTACCAATTGTGGTTTCCCCTGGACCCAATGGTCATACAAATAATGAGATTAGCTCAAAGATTTGTGGACATCAGGAAACAGGGATTTTTTAGACTTGGAGAATACATACCTTTCAATAGTGCCTCAATACCCTATAATCTCTAATCTGAATAAGGAATAAAGATTCAGAAACACTTGAAATGAGATTCAATTCAGACCAATGGCCCCTCAATTTCCTCCAGTGTCCCTATACTCAACAAGGAAATTGCACATTCCCTGTACATTTATGCCTTCCTCTAGGGTAAACTCTCAAATTTTCAAAGTGATTTGCTTGTAAAAGATTTCCTATATTTAGTGCATTCCTAAGGCCTTTCTCCAGTGTGAGCTTTCTTATGACAGTGCAGCTTAGTGGTGTTAATAAAAGATTTCCCACATTCACTGCATTTAAAAGGCCTTTCTCCAAGGTGAACTCTCTGATGATAATAGAGGCTGTTGCCATGAGTGAAAGATTTCCCACATTCAGTGCACTTATAAGGCCTTTCTCCAGTGTGAGCTCTCTGGTGTATAATGAGATGATTTCTCTGGACAAAGGCTTTCCCACAATCACCACACGCATAAGGCCTTTCTCCAGTGTGAGCACTCTGATGATAACGGAGGCCAGATTTGCTGCTAAAGGATCTCCCACATTCACAGCACTCATAAGGCTTTTCTCCAGTGTGACTTCTCAGATGTATATGGAGCTGGTAATTAGTGGTAAAAGATTTCCCACATTTGGTGCATTTGTAAGGCCTTTCTCCAGTATGAACTCTACGATGACAACGAAGGACGTAACTAAGAGTATAAGATTTCCCACATTCACTGCACTCAAAAGGCTTTTCTCCAGTGTGGGCTCTCTGATGAACACGGAGGAGGTAATTAGTAATAAAAGATTTTCCACATTCAATGCATTTGTAAGGCTTTTCTCCAGTGTGAGTTTTCTTATGATAGTACAAGGCGGAGTTAAATTTAAAAGATTTTCCACATTCCCTGCATTCATAACGCCTTTCACCTTTGTGAATACTCTGGTGTTCAATAAGCCTACACTTACTATTATAAGATTTCCCACACTCACTACACACATAAGCACTTTTCCCTGTGTGAACTCTCTGGTGTTTAATTAAGGTACTCCTAATGATAAAGGATTTCCCACATTCACTACACTCAAAAGGCCTTTCCCCTGTATGTGATTTCTGATGACGCTTAAGGGCTGACCTAGACATGAAAGATTTTCCACATTCACTGCACTCATGAGGTCTTTCTCCAGAATGAACTCTCTGATGATTACGGAGAGAACTGACAGTAGTAAATGATTTCTTGCATTCATTGCAACTTACATAAGACCTCTGTCCAGAATGAATCCCCTGATGATAATGAAAGTTGAATTTAGAGGTAAAAGATTTCCCACACTCACTGCACCTATATGGCCATTCACTAGAATGAATTCTCTGATGGTAACGAAGAACAGCAGGAGTAATACAAGATTTCCCACATTCACTGCACTCACTAGGCCTTTCAGTGTGAGTGCCTTCATGATAATGGAGACTAGTGCTACTGGTAAAAGATTTCCCACACTCACCACACACATAAGGCCTTTCTCTAGTGTGAATTCTCTGATGACGATGGAGATGGGAACTAGTAATAAAAGATTTCCCACATTCATTGCACTTATAAGGCCTTGCTCCTGGGTGAGATCTCTGATGATATCTGAGTGAAGGCCTAGAGGTAAAAGATTTCTCACATTCACTGCACTCATAAGGTCTTTCTCCTGTGTGAGATCTATTATGACAAATGAATGAGGATCTAGACATAAAAGATTTCCCACATTCACTGCATTTGTAAGGCCTTTCTCCAGTGTGAGATCTCTGATGATATTGGAGAGCGCTGGTAGAAGTAAAAGATTTCCCACATTCATAGCATTTATAAGGCTTTTCTCCTGTGTGAGATCTCCAATGATATTGCAAAGCGTTGGTAGAGGTAAAACATTTCCCACATTCATAGCATTTATAAGGCTTTTCTCCTGTGTGAGATCTCTGATGATTACGGAGGTTGACGTTAGAGGTGAAGCATTTTCCACATTCACTGCATTTATAAGGCCTTTCTCCAGTGTGAGATCTCTGATGATATTGTAGAACACTGGAAGAGGTAAAAGATTTCTCACATTCACTGCACTTATAAGGCCTTTCTCCAGTGTGAGATCTCTGATGATATTGTAGAACACTGGAAGAGGTAAAAGATTTCTCACATTCACTGCACTTATAAGGCCTTTCTCCAGTGTGAGATCTCTGATGATATTGGAGAGCACTGGCAGAGGTAAAAGATTTCTCACATTCATAGCATTTATAAGGCTTTTCTCCAGTGTGAGATCTCTGATGAGATCGGAGGATGCAGTTAGTGGTAAAGGATTTCCCACATTCACTACACTTAAAAGGCCTTTCTCCTGTGTGAGATCTCTGATGATAAATGAGGGCAGATCTACATTTAAAAGATTTCACACAGTCACTACACTTATAAGGACGTTCTCCAGGAAATACTCTCTTATGTCCAATGAACATAGAGCTGTGGTAAAAAGACTCTGCACACTCACTGCACACAGAACTGTTCTCTCCATTGTACAATCTCTGGGGAGAAACGAGGACTGATTTGTGGCTTAAGGATTTCCAACATTTGCTGCACTTCTCCGATCCTGAATGAGTATAAATTTTTTGATGCTGACTGACAGTTGAGTTTTGTCTAAAAGATTTGCCACTTTTGATAAACAAATGAAGACCTTCCCCAGGATGAACTCTCTGGTGCATAATAAATGTTGATTTGTACCTGAATGTTTTCCCGCATTCCCTGCACACAAAACATGGCCTTTCAGTGTAGACACGCCAGTCCTGAACAAGTGTGTGTTCAGGGCTGAAGGCTTTCTCACAATCTCCTGAGGTATAATGACTTCTACTTGGTGAAGTTGATCTGCACTGGGTGGCTGTATTCAGCTTCTCGACAGTATAAGTGGCCTGCAGATGTCCCATGCTGGCCAGGATTTTCCCAGAAGTAAGAGGCTTCCCTGACACATGGAATCTGGGGCTCTTAAAAGATAAAGCCTCATGTACACAGCTTCTCAAAGGCATATAAAATTTTTTTGCACACGCCCCACACCTCAACAGTTTTTGGCTGTATTGTGTTTCCTGCTGCTCCACCAACTGGAAAACATATCTCAAGACTGAACTACACTTCTCACAGGGATGGGTCTTCTGAGAAAATGGAGCTGCTGTGGGAGATACAGTCCATGAGACTCCTACAGGAACAGTTTTTTCACAGGGTGTCTCCTCACCTTCTGCTCCACAGCAGCAACCTGAATGTAAAGAAACATTAGTCAAGTGCACATTGACTTCCTAGGGAGGGAGCTAGTTCACCATAAATGTATAGCCATTTCATATAAGAACAACCTTCAAAGAAATGGAATACTTTTTAAGACTAGGGAGTTGGAAATCAGTTTAAGCAGCAGCTGCTGTGCATTACTGGGTCTGAAAGTGGTGGAGACTTCAACAAGAAAAGGATGCAAAAATACAGTTGTCACTGACACAAGGAAGAGAAGCAAGGTCTAGTGCTTATTTCTCTGTCCACAGCTTCCTGTAGGACCTTTTCTACAGGTAGTAGAAGCTCAGTAGAAGGGTGTGATCACAGCCACGAAAACACAATCACAACTTATTTGCTTTTCAAGGTCAATTTAAGCATATATTCATACCTCACAGCATGATGCATGATGGGCAAAGTTCAGAGAGTAATAGAGAAAGCGAGGTAAGAGAAATAGGTAAGATGTTGAGTCCAGAGAGGTGGAGATGATCCCTGTGCTGGAAGTCATAGCAGAAATGACAAAGTAACAGAAATGACAGGTTGGCAAAAAGTCAACAGTGGAGGAGTAAAGGTAGAAATGGGGTGTGGTCACTGGCAATAATACCAAAGTTTTCATTGAACAAAGACAGTTTCCTGGTATATATATATATATATATATATTTTTTTTTTTTCCTGGTATATTTTTAACAATGCCCTGATGTCACAGTCTCCCCAGCTATAATTCAGCAGGACCAGGCCCACTGAGCTCACTGTGCCATGGCCAGAGTCATGTCCATCCCATTATGCACAAAGGATTCCTTTCCCTAAGAAAGTCATAACTGCAATTACTGGGTACATGGAGCACTGAAGGCAAAAAAAGAAAAAGAGAAACGCCAGTACTGTTCTAGAGCAACTCAGCATTACAGCAGACCCAGGAAAAAGCACAAGTTGAGTGACATCAATAAAACAGTAGAATAGGAGATACCACCCTTTACCACCAATGAAAAATAAACAACTGTCCATGAAGGACATTAATCAGCCTTGGAAGACACAAGAGTCCAGTCAAGAACTGACTCTCATATTCATGTATGGATGAGAGCTGAGCCATAAAGAAGGCTGAATGCCAAAGAACTGATGCTTTTGATTTGTGTTGGAGAATACTCTTGAGAATACCTTGGACTGCAAGAAGATCCAACCAGTCAATCCTAAAGGAAATCAACCCTGAATACTCATTGGAAGGACTGACGCTAAAGCTGAAGTTCTAATACTTTGGCCACCTGATGCAAAGAGCCAACTCACTGGAAAAGACCCTGATGATGGGAAAAATTGAAGCAAAAGGAGAAAGGGGCAGCAGAAGATAAGATGGTTAGGTAGCATCACTGGCTCAATGGACATGAATTTGAGCAAACTCCGGGGACAGTGAAAGACAGAGGAGTCTGCAGTGCTGCAGTCCAGGAGGTTGTAAAGAGTAGGATACAACCTAAGTGTTGAACACCACCACCACCACCACGACAGTGGAACATAACAAAAAAAAAGCACACAGAAAAGATCACTGGAAAGTGTCTTAAAAGAGACATCTGGAAATGACTAGGAAATGAGGACTGGGCTGCCACTGGGCTATTTCTCTCAGCCACAAGACAGGAGCCACTGCAGTCCCAGTGGCCTCTGCTGCAGAAGACATAGCTGCCTGCTCTACAGAGGACACTGGAACTTTTGCCACTGAGTTATCTGACACTCATGGTCAGAGTGGATGCCCTGGTGAGTATGAAGCTACTAGTCAACACCCTCAGTAGGAGCTGTTGTGCTGATCCAGAAGCAGGGCTGCCACAACCCCCAAACCTGTGCCGGCATTCCAGACCCTGACTCCACCACTACACCATGTACTCCTGTGTCTCAGGCACTAGAAACAACTTTTCTATAGACATGCCAGTTTGACAGACTCACAGACACTGTCTACATGTGCAGCCAGGCAGATTCCATGGCTGATCGCTGAACAGCCACATATCTCAAACCAAAGCCAAGGTTGCTGAGGCTATCCAATGACCCAGAGCCCATAATCACTGTCACTCCGAAAGTGCCTGTATACAACACCCCAGGTCTGTGGATCCTCGACAGATACATACATCTCAGACACCAGTGTTACCACAACCAATCAGGTGACCAACAGTCGACAGGGCACCAAGAAGGATCCCCTTGGTGACAAAGTCCTCCGGGAGAAAAAGAGATCAGGAGTTCCCTAGCAGCCTTCTCCACCACTTTGGACACCCTCAGCCTTGCTGATTGAGGAATCTTGATTATCTTTACTGACACTGACTTCAGGTGAAGGGACGGCACAGAGAACATAGCTGGGCTTTCCACAGAGCCAGAATAGCCACAGCCCAAAGTTGAACCCACCACAGATTGAGGTCTTCCCACACCAAAAACTGTAATGTGAAGCCTGGAAGAAATGACTACACCATCAAATCAGCATAAAGAAATACAAGGCTACAGGAAACACACAAAAAATCAAAACATGAAACCAACACAGAAATACCATAATTTATCAGAAACCACACCCAAGGAAATGGAGACCTACAAAGGGTCAAAGAGTTCAAAATAATTGTTTCACCACAGTTCATTGAAGCAACAACAAAGCAGACAATTCAACAAAGTAAAGTAAATAATACCTAAACCAAACAAGTTGTTTAACAAAGAGACAAAAATGAAAAAGAACAAAACAGAGTGGCCAAGGGTGGCCTAAGGGAAGGTCTCTGGCTGCCACACACAGAAGCTGCAGGGGACAGGGACACCATCTTCCACAGTTGCCTACAGGTCTTCCCTGGTGGCTCAGCCAGTCAAGATTCTGCCTCCAATGTAAGAGACCTGGGTTCAGTCCCTGGGTTGGGAAGATCCCATGGAGAAGGAGATGGCAACCCACTCCAGTATTCTTGCTTGGAGAATTCCACAGACAGAGGAGCTTGGTGGGCTACAGTTCATGGGGTCACAAAGAGTCAGACATGACTAAGTGACTAACGATACCAGCACTCACTGAACTCATGAAGGCTGGCTGAGAGGAATAGGACTGAAGAATCACCCCACACTTTCAACCAGTGATACCAGAGGTTCTGGTATGCCCACTCTCCAAAAAGGCACTCAGATGTGAAGAATCAACAGATAAACTGATAAATGAATATGTGGGAAATGCCTATCACATCATTGATGGGATTCTTAATATTGTCAGGCGAGTGTATGCTCCTCAGTTCTGTCTCATCACAACAAAGATTTGGAGCGATGGACATTAAAGCCCTCGGCTCTTCACAGCTCTCGGGTCTTGGGCAAACCATGCTGTAGCTCTTAGACAAATCAGTGTTATAGCTCTATTTTATTTACAAGATAGTGGGAGGATCCATCCTCAAAGCGTGAGGGCATGCCAACCCAAAGAGGCGAAGAGAAGAGAGAGAAGAGAGTGGAGGAGCATGACAGTGTGCAGGAGAGAGAAAGAGAGAGAGCAAGCGGGGGTGGGGGGGGTGTATGCGCGTGCGCACACACCTGGGAGATGAGTGAGCATGGGGGAGGGAGGGAAAGAGAGAGAGAGAAAGTACTTTGGCTCCTCCTTTTATGTTTTTTCCTCCCCCTGGGCCTGCCCTATGTAAAATGGGCTTAGCCAGAAGTGCTGTTTGTTCTACCTGAGGTCTTCACTCCTTTCTTTGACCTTCCTTTGTTCTATTTTCATGGGCTTGTCCCTTCCTTGTCTTTTAGCCATCGCCATTTTGGACTCCTTTTCCCTCTTTAACTACCTAACATTATGATACAACAGGGAGCTAAGAAGACATATCAAAATAAGAAATGGAACAAGATCATTACATATATTTATAATCAAACACTTTCATGCAGACACAGAACAACTATATCCTCTTAATACCAGTACAGTGTCAACTAATATGTGGGAAAGGCTGTTTCTACATTGACTGTATTGCACTGATCTTTTAGCAGAATTATTCTACTTGGTCTCCAAAAGAAAACTTTCTACTGAGCTGAAATAGCACAAACAACTTACACTTTTACAGTCTGCTCTTACCTATTACCAGAACAGTTTATGTATTCTTACACCTTTGGACTTCTTTTTTTTTTTTTACATCCCTACATATTTAATGCTTTCAAAATAAGGTAAAAACATTTTACATAACAGAATATATTTGTTATAAGTTAAATTCCAGAAACATACTCAAGATTGACAATTCCTACTGTTATTTTTTTAAGTACCTTTGGACTTCTATGAGTATTAGAAACTTGAATAACTAAAGTTAGGAGAACCAAGATAGTATATATATGAAGTATACGCCTTCAGCTCAGTTCAGTTCAGTCACTCAGTCGTGTTTGACTCTGTGACCCCACAGACTGCAGCATGTCAGGCTTCCCTGTCCATCATGAACTCCCAGAGCCTGTTCAAATTCATGTCCATCAAGACGGTGATGCCATCCAACTATCCCATCCTCTGTCATCCCCTTCTCCTCCTGCCTTCAATCTTTTCCAGAATCAGGGTCTTTTCCAGTGAGTCAGTTCTTTGCACCAGATGGCCAAAGTACTGGAGCTTCAGCTTCAGTATCAGTCCTTCCAATGAATATTTAGGACTGATTTCCCTTAGGATTAACTGGTTTGATTCCCTTGCAGTCCAAGGGACTCTCAAGAGTCTTCTCCAACACCACAGTTTAAAATCATCCATTCTTCACTGCTCAGCTTTCCTTATGGTTCAACTCTCACATCCACATGACTCTTGGAAAAACCATAGTTTGACTAGACGCACCTTGGTTGGCAAAGTAAGGTCTCTGCTTTTTAATATGCTGTCTAGGTTGGTCATAGCTTTTCTTCCAAGGAGCAAGCATCTTTGAATTTCATGGCTTCAGTCACCACCTGCAGTGATTTTGGAGCCCCCAAAAATAAAGTTTGTCACTGTTTCTACTGCTTCCCCATCTATCTGCCACGAAGTGATGGACCTGATGCTATGATCTTTGTTTTCTGAATGCTGAGTTTTAAGCCAGCCTTTTCACTCTCCTCTCTCACGTTCATAAAGAGGCTCCTCAGTTCCTCTTTGCTTTCTGCCATAACAGTGGTATCATCTGAATATCTGAAGTTATTGATATATTTCTCCTGGCAATCTTGATTCCAGCTTGTGTTTCATCCATCCCGGCATTTTGCATGATGTACTCTGCATAGAAGTTAAATAAGCGGAGTGACAGTATACAGCCTTGATGTGCTCCTTTTCCAATTTGGAACCAGTCCGTTGTTCCATGTCTGGTTTTAACTGTTGCTTCTTGACCTGCATACAGAGTTATCAGGAGGCAGGTAAGGTTGTCTGGGTTCCCATCTCTTGAAGGATTTTCCAGTTTGTTGTGCTCCACACAGTTAAAGGCTTTGGCACAGTCAACAAAGCAAAAGTAGATGTTTTCTGGAATTCTCTAGCTTTTTCTATGATCCAACCGATGTTGGCAATTTGATCTATGGCTCCTCTGCCTTTTCTAAATCCAGCTTCAACATCTGGAAGCTCATGTACTCCTGAAGCCTTGCTTGGAAAATTTTGAGCATTGCTTTGCTAGCATGTGAGATGAGTACAATTTTGCAGTAGTCTGAACATTCTTTGGCATTGCCTTTCTTTGGGATTGGGATGAAAACGGACCTTTTCCAGTCCTGTGGCCATTGCTGAGTTTTCCAATTTGCTGCCATATTGAAGATAGCACTTTCACAGCATCATCTTTTAGGATTTGAAACAGCTCAACTGGAATTCCAGCACCTCCATTAGCTTTGTTCATAGTGATGCTTCCTAAGGCCCATTTGACTTCACATTCCAAGATGTCTGGCTCTAGGTGAGTGATCACACCATAGTGGTTATCTGGGTCATGAAGATCTTTCTTGTATAGTTCTTCTGTGTATTCCTGCCACCTTTTCTTAATATCTTCTGCTTCTGTTAGGTCCATATCATTTTCATCCTTCATTGAGCCCATCTTTGGATGAAATGTTCCCTTGGTATCTCTAATTTTCTTGAAGAGATCTCTAGTCTTTCCCATTCTATTGTTTTCCTCTGTTTCTTTGCAATGTATATCCCTTAGGCATCTATTTTTAACTAAGTGAAAACTAGATGGAAATACGAGAGAACCAGTCAATTTGCAGGAAAGATACTTAAGTTTCTGTCAAAAAATTATGACTATGGGCTTAAGCTTTTATTGTCTTTTTGTGCTGTCTTTGTGTTTTGAATGTTCAAACATATAACTCGTGTATTAGAAGAAGAGTATAAATAACTGTTGAAAAAGGATAGTATCAATAACCTGAAGATTTTAACAATCTTTTTTGGGGGAGTAGAATTGTTTCACAATGTTGTATTAATTTCTTCTGTACAACAAAGTGAATCAGCCATATGTATACATATATCCTGCCCCTGTTGAGCCTCTCTATTTATTACCTTGTTTAACTAAAAATCAGTCAGTTAGAATTCCATTTAGATTCAAGGTCCTTGGTACATTCTTATGTTATAGCTATTGAAAATCACTCCAAAGCAGCTACACTGGAATACATGTAAGAAATGCTTTGACTAGTCTGAGAAAACTGTACAATAAAAATGGAAATTTCATGTACTTGCAAAACTTCTGGGTTGGTAAAATTACCTTCATCTGTTGGGCATTATGTTTACCTTAGTAATACAATGATGACACTCATTGAAAACAAACAAACAAGAGCTTCCCCGGTGGTCCAGTCTTTAAGAGTCCACCTGTCAAAGATCCCTGGTCCAGGAAGATTCTACATGGCAACCAAGCCCCTGCACCACAACTACTGAGCCCATGCTCCTAGAGTCTGCTCCACAAGAAAAGAAACCACTGCAATGAGAAACCTACACACCATAAGGAAGAGTAGTCCCCACTCACTGCAACCAAGACCCACACAGACAAAACTAACCAAATAAAAATGTGTTTTTAAAAAGAAAGCAAACAAACAAATGGACCCAAACAGAAATTCTGTTGCTGAAGAATACAATGAAGTAAAGCACAATGAAGACAGTATCAACAGCCAAATTTTATTATGCAAAAGTAAAAATCTAGGAACTTGAAAACAGGTGTTTCAATTATTCAATGAGGAGAAAAAAAAGAGAAAGATGAAGTGAAGAAAGCATACATGGATTATGAAACATAAAGCAAAACATTATTTGCATTTTCAGAGTCCTGGAAAGAGAAGACAGAGAGAAAGGGGTAGCAAGCAGATTTAAAGAAACAATGATTGAACACTTTCTAACTAGAGAGAAAAGATTAGATATCCAGATACATGAGGCTCACGGGTTCAATCAAAAACTTCACTGAAGCATATTATAATAAAATGGTCAAAAAGCAATTACAGCTAATTCCTTGGAGGTCCAGTGGTTAGGACTGGGCACTTTTACTGCTGGGGCCTAAATTCAATCCCTGGTCAGGGAACTAAGATCCCAAAGCCTTGAGGTGTGTCTGGGAGCAGTGGGGCGGGGGCGGGGATTATATACTAGTCATAAAAAGAATGAAATAATGCTATTTGCAGCAACATGGATGAACCTAGAGGTTATCATACTAAGTGAAGTAAGTCAGAGAAAAACAAATGTATGTGCTATCACTTATATGTGCAATCTAAAAAAATAGTACGAATGAACTTTATTTACAAAATAGACACAGATTCAGATAAAACAAACTCATGGTTGCCAAAGGAGAAGTGAGGAAGGGATAAATTGGGAATATGGGATTAACAGATGCACACTTCCATGTATACAATAAACAATGATTTACTGTATAGCACAGGGAACCATATTCAATAACTTATAGTAAACTATTTAATGGAAAAGAACTGAAAACACATGGATGTATACATATATATAGATAACCAAACCACTTGCCCTATTAGAGTCCAGTACAGCAAGGATTGGGGTTGGAGAGAAAAGAGGGCAGTGCCCACACCCCAGCCTTCTACCTACCACAACAACTATACAGAAAACTGGGGAAACTAGCAGTGCCTATACCACGTGAAGACAGAGCACCTCCTTCAGAAAGGTAGGGTAAGGCAGGATACAGAGCCCAGCCCAGGTCACTGGGGAGGCTGAGTCTTACCCAGTGAGGATATAAGTGTGTAGTTCTCCAGCATCACATCCAGATACAGGCGTCTCTGAGTCTCATCAAGGAGCCTCCATTCCCTCTGGGAGAAGCACACAGCAACATCTGGAAAGGCCACACCACCCTGTCATGAAGGGGACAGATGAAAGCTTGAACATTATCCCTCTGAGAACCTAAAATCCATCTCTGCACACATCCATTCCAGACATTGTCCACCAGAGCTCCCAACCTGAGAGAAGATGCCAGGCCCTGGTGCAACAGATGCTGCTGTCTCCTCACAGCCATTAACCAATGTGTTCAGCCCTCAGCAGTCACTGGGTGGAGGGGGTGGTGGTGCACACAGATGCCATCTAAACTCTGGGCTTGGTGTGCAATGTCCCGTCCTTCCAGCCAAGCAATTCCCCTGGAGACTCTCAAATTGTGGGAAACCAGACACAGACAAAGATAAAGTCATGTTTCACCTGTAACCTCAACACCAGGGCCTGGCGGTGGGGGCAGGGGGCCTCAGTTCACACTTTCTCTCTATGTGCACATCATTCTGTAGGTGGCACTTCTCTCACAATTTCAGACCTCACAGCTGCACTCCCACAGCACTGCCATCTCCCTGCACCACACCACAGAATCCTTCCTGAACATATGTGTACATCTGGCACTTGGAATCCAGAAAATGCTTGAGAAATTAAAGGAAGATTCACTACAACCTCACTCCCCTGATAACTCTAATGCCAAGCTAAGCCACAAATACTGCTTAGAAAATCTCACCACCTGCCACCAGTCCTTCTTTCCATATTTGCCACCCTAAAACCATACGTGAATTTCACATTCCCACAACTCTCTTCAACTTCTTTACTGCCAGCTTTGCCCTCAACCACCACAACACTCGTCTCTCCACTCAAGCTTTGTAAAAAACCAAGCCCTAAAAATCTCCCCACAAGACATCACTTCAGTTCAGTTCAGTCGCTCAGTCATGTCCAGCTCTTTGCGACCTCATGGACTATAGCATGCCAGGCTTTCCTATCCATCACCAACTCCCAGAGTGGACTCGAACTCATGCCCTTTGAGTTGGTGATGCCATCCAACCATCTCATCCTCTGTCGTCCCCTTCCCCCACCTTCAATCTTTTCCAGCATCAGGGTCTTTTTCAGTCAGTCAGTTCTTCGCATCATGTTGCCAAAGTACTGGAGTTTCAGTATCAGTCCTTCCAATGAATAGTCAGGACTGATTTCTTTCAGGATTGACTGGTTTGATTTCTTTGCAGTCCAAGGGACTCTCAAGAGTCTTCTCCAACACCACAGTTCAAAAGCATCAGTTCTTCAGTGCTCAGCTTTCTTTATAGTCCAACTCTCACATTCATACATGACTACTGGAAAAACCATAGCCTTGACTAGATTGACCTTTGTTGGCAAAGTAATGTCTCTGCTTTTTAATATGCTGTCTATGTTTGTCATAGCTTTTCTTCCAAGGAACAAGTGTCTTTTCATTTCATGGCAGCAGTTACCATCTGCAGTGATTTTGGAGTCCAGGAAAATAAAGTCTGTCACTGTTCCCATTGTTTCCCCATCTATTTGGCACGAGGTGATGGGACTTGATGCCATGATCTTAGTTTTCTGAATGTTGAGTTTTCAGCCAGACATAGTGACTCACAAATGACATCTGCCCCAGACCTCATCCACTAGCAAGACTAAAACATCCCAAATCCCATCAAAATTCATCACAAAATCCTGAAGAAGCTATCCAGTACTAAATAAGCAGCAGCCCCAGCCTCACTGCCTTCTTGTCTCAATTACTCCTGGTCTCCTCAGCCATTTTTCCTCCACTCATCCCATACAAGCCTTCGCCACCTGCCAGGCTGACCTCTTTTACACGGTTCCCACTGCCACTTCTCTACTTCACTTGGGTTTGCAATGCCCACAAACATATCCAGGCCCTGAGAAAAAGAACCACTCCTCAGGACACACCCGTCTTTCTGACCTACTAATATCATGCCTACTATAACCTGCATTCCCCTCCTAAATGTGATCCACAGCTCCACGCTGCTCCACAAAACAGTCATCACTTTTGAAAGTTTCCATTCCTGAACACCTTCCCAGTTTTCCAGACCTGCCTAGTCAACTGTCCAATTGTTGCCTACACTCAGTCTTCTCCGAAACATCTCAGACTCTTAACAGAGCGAAAACAAACATAATATTTCCAAGGAAAATTAATCTGCTGCTAAGGTCCCCATCCAGTTGATGGGCCTTCCATCCCTTCATCAACTAAGGCCAAAACCCGGAGGGTCATCCCTCGCTACTTCCTTTCTGTCACCAACAGACCCACAATTTGGCTTGGCCCGTCTCCAAAAATGGATCCAGAATTCCTGAGACATCGAGGGCAGTCCCTCTGGTCCATAAATACTCAAATAGGCAATCACAATTAATCATTCCATGCCTCCTGCTGCCCCTCCCACTGTTTACTTCTATAGTCTGTTCTCTGCAACCAGTTGGAGCTTCTTTTGATTTCGGAAAGACTACCTCCTACCTGCAATTCAAACCCCTCATTACTTGTGTAACAAATTGCCAACTTCTCAGGCAGCAACACTGCAAGCCTGACTCTGGCCCCACCGCATCTGGCTTCTAAAGGAAGGCAGAGAAGTTGTACAGTGGTTCTGGTTAGTCTGACCTACAAGCCTCTGCATTTTGGGGTCCCTCCATCTGTCATGCTCTCCCACTCTCCACCATGCGGTCAGAAACGGCCTGACTACCGCCTCACCATCCTGAATCCCGGGGCCTGAGCTGCGGGCAAGTGAGCATGGGCCCCAGACTTAACTGTCTGGTGCAGCATGGGCTTCCCAAGGTGGCGACAGTGGTCAAGAATTCTGCTGCTCAGGGCTGGTGCACTGGGATGGCCTGAGGAAGGGGATGCGGAGGGAGGTGGGAGGGGGTTTTCAGGATGTACACCCACGGCTGATTCACGTGAATGTACGGTAAAAACCACTGCAATACTGTAAAGTAGTTAGCCTCCAATTAAAGTAAACAAATAAATTTTTAAAAATGTGTTATAATTCAGAAAGCCTTTTCTATGTCTGAAGCTTGGAACTGAAAAAAAAAAATGTATTAAATGTAGCCTCTTGCTTTCCTTCCTTAGAACAGCAGCATAGAGTAAGAGGCAGACTGCTTGAGATTAAATTCTAGGGTACTGTACACGAGCTATGAGTCTGTACAATGTGCTTAATACCTCTGTCCTAAAGTTTCCTCCTCTATAAAAGTTACCACCTACTTCACATGATTACTATTAAGATTAAATAACATATATTGAGGATTTAAAACAGTTCTTGGTAAGCACTGTGTGTTTACTGTTATTTTTGTGACCGTTATTAACACCATTGTTATTTACATATTCTAGTCCCTCTGCTCAGGATGTATTTTCTTTCTTCCTTCACTTGGCAAAATACTTCTCATTTTTCAAAACCTGACTCAAAAAAACTGTCCTGAACTTTTAAAACAATGTCCTTTTTCAGTGCTTTCATAACAATCTTTTTATCTATAATTAATAACAAAATTATACTGAAATTATCTATTTGAATGCCATACGCCAGTACACACTTGCCTCCTTCCTCCCCACTAAGTTCCTGGAGAACAAGTTCTTCTCCATTTGTTCCCTAGAACTGATGCACAATTTATATATCAGGGATCCACCCGCCCCAAAAAAGGAATCCGCCTGCCAATGCAAGAGACACAGGCGACGCGGGCTCGATCCCTGCTTCGGGTCCCAGGAGTAGGGCATGACAACCCACTCCAGTATTCCTGCTTGGAGAATCCCATGGACAGAGGACATGGACGGCTACGGTCCATGTGGTCGCAAAGAGTCGGACAGGACTGAAGCGACTTAGCACGTAAGCACGGAGCAAGGGCGGTGAGGGCCGGGAGGACTAGCGTTTACCTGAGGTGGGTCCCGCAGCGCCGCCGCAGCCATCGGACTCTGCCTTGAGAAGGACGGGAGTGTCGGTCCTTATCCCGGGTCTGGCGCTGTGCAGCGAGGACAGAGCCTCCTCTCGGACCCTCCCGTCCCCAACCGGCGAGCCAACAGGAGAGACGCCAAGAAAGGGGGGTAACCAGGCTGGCTAGGCGGGTGTCCCCTTCTCCCCTCACCATTCCGTGAGGACAACCATGCCTGACGGAGCACAACAGTTTCCCGGGAGCGTACCCTGCTCCAACGGATCCTCTAAGCAAATTGAGCGCTAGGCGAGACCGGAAATCCCTCGGAAATCCCTCCCCTGACGCATGCTCACTGGGGGAAAGTCGTCATCCTCATCCCTCATTGGTTCAACAACTGGTGTCGCTCTGCCTAGGCTCTTCCTGGTAGTGAGGTTCTGGGTCCTCTGGAGACCCCAGGAAAGGGTGTTTTGCCATCCTTAATTTCCAGAGCATTTCCTGTAAGCTACCCGGAAGAATGCGGGGAAATGGTTCTCTTCCCTAGAGGGAGGAGCTTTACTCCTTAAAGACGTGAAGAGACATTAATTTAGACTCCTTCCAAGCTCAACCTGCTCTCAGAAGACAAGTCTATTATTTTAGACTTTTCCAAATTCTGTTATTGTGGGAAGGCAATGCTGCCCGCATTCCAGATCCCATTCCAGTTCTAAAAGAATCAAAGCCACAGCCACTACTGCTGTTCCCCAAAGGTGTTCCCTGAGGGGAAATCAGGATGCAGACAGACAGGAAGCATTCTGTGCCTGGGACAATGACCTTTAATAGTTAAGATGCATATCTAAGGACTAATGTTAAGAAGCCCAGATTCTTGCATCCTCTCATACACAGAAGAAAAGCACTAAAATCATTAACTTGAGTTGTCTGTTCTTTGTGATTATCAGTGATCCTTTAATGGTCAACTGCCTGTTTTTTCCAGCAAAAAAAAAAAAAAAAAGAAACCCACCTTCTCTATATCCCAGCTTCTCCCTTACCTCTATGGAGCAGTTTCTCAAAGCTGTGTGAGAGATTGTTACTAGAGTTAAAACTTTTAGTAACATCCCTGAATAGAACAACTTGCAACTTTTATGTTATGTCTTCCACTTCTATCCACAACTGAGGTGTGAGGGGCATCATTCAATAGAGCCATTCAGGCAAAAATGAGTCCATGGGTTGCTAGAAAATTGGTTATTGCTCTCAAATGTTTGTAGCCTGAAGCATCAAATTTTGTGAGTTTCAGTGTGAATCGTTAGCAACAATAGGAAAGATCCCTTTCAGGTCCCGACTGGCAAGAAAAAAAAACAATCAACTGGGTAAATTTTAAAAGTTTAATTGTCTTTATTGATTGGTTCACGAATTAAGCATCAACCCTTCTAGCGAGCAAGGGGGAGTTCTGAAGGGCTACAGAGAGGAAAACGTTTTTTAAAGTAGGAAAAGGAAGTCGTCAATAGATAGGATGATTTCAGGCTTAGATAACCTACCTATGGAGAATGGAAGGGGTCTAGGCACCAGATTACCTCATCTTCCTTTGAGGGAGATGGAGAGGGCCCCATGTGACATATTACCTCATTGGTAACAACCAGAAAATTATTTTTTTTCAAACTTTAAACTTTTTATTTTGTTTTAAGGTGTAACTGATCAACAGTGTTGTGGTAGTTTCAGGTGAACAGTGAAGGGACTCAGCCATACGTATACATGTATCCATTTTCCCCCAAAACTGCTCCCATCGAGGTTGGCACATAACATTGAGTAGAGTTCCATGTGCTATACAGTAGGTCTTCATTTCAACCAGAAAATTCTTAACTGATTCATTAAGGCTACATTTCCAGAGAAAGTTCGATTAGGTTAGGTATTAAGTCCCGGTTTGCTGTCACGGCCTATCGTAAGTAACTTCGTATTCAGCCTGTGGTTTTCTTGTGAACAGATGGTGGGTCAACCTGAAGTAAACAACAAGGTCTGCTTCTGGTCCTACACAAAACTCTCTCTTGCCCGCACAATTAGGAATTTTCTCACTCATCGAGGAACACTTTTATCTATTGTAATACTTTAAATTCATATCCCAGATACATGCAGTTGCTCTGAGCAATCAAACAAAAAGCAACTTGACTGAAGTTTTGGGCACTACATAGAAGCTTTGATTTTCAGTTGGAGTGCATGTGCAAAAGGGAGCATCTGAACCCTGAAAAAAAAAAGCATTTCTGAACCCCTGGATCTCATCTTCTAGGCAGTGATCATTATTTCTGCAAGCCTTGGTGTAACATTTTGTATGTGGGGTTGAGATTATCTCAGAAAAACTGCCGCAAAATGTGCACCTCAGAAAGTATTTAATTAATGTTTATGTAGTTCTTTAAAGATAGTAGCAGGGCTTCCCTGTTGGCTCAGTGGTATAGAACCTGCCTGTCACTGCAGGAGACTTGGGTTTGATCCTGGACTCAGGAAAATACCCTGGAGAAAGAAATGGCAATCCACTCCAGTATTCTTGCCTGGGAAATCCCATGAACAGAGGATCCTGATGAGAGTCCACAGGGTCACAAAAGAGTCAGATACAACTTAGTAAACAACAACAAAGATAGTAGCAGAAATAGCTCTAAGGACACATCAGTAAAGCTGAAGAAGGAATTCATAGGGCCAGGACTCCATCTCAGGCCTATCTGTGCGGATTATGCTCGGCTGCCTCTCCAGTGGACTCTGAACTCTCTGCTTAATGCCTGTGGGAACGACAGTGGAAGGATAAGACCCCTTCCCGACAGGGGAATCTTGAAGATCACATCCAGGTTACTCATCGCCTAAGAGGAAACATACTGTAATCACCCCTGTCTCCGGACAGGTCATAAACTTTTTCCGTATCTATCGGGATGTAATCACAGGCTTATCGATTATTAACTGGTTGGAATGTGACCACAAGCTTATTGATTATTAACTGTTTGGAATGTAACTGCGGGCTTATTGATTATTGACTGTTTGAACACATAACACCTGAATGATGGGGTTATTGTAGTTGTATTTACCCTTCCTTTGTTTATGTAAGTCTCAAGGGAATTGGGGTGGTGGGTTTGGACACGTACACATGGGGTATAAAAGATTTTCACAAATGCTGGTTGGGGTTCTTGGCTAAGAGGAGACTCTGCCTTGGACCCGCCGGTGTAATAAACTGTACTCCACTATCTGCATTGTCCTTCTGAGTGAGTTTATTTCCCGGAAAGCATGGCTATAACATTTGGCGCATGGGGAAATGCCTCGCTTTGAGGAGACAGGTCTCATTTGAGGCCACCCCGAGGCTTTGTAGCTTGAACCTCCTAGAGGGGGGAAGACGCCTCGCCCCTCTGGAAGGATTCTGCTTTTCAACGCCCGGATCTTTCATGTCAGCAGGTAGTGGATGGCAGCAGGGGAACTGAGCGCTCAGGTGAGGAGGAACCCACCCAGCAGGGTGGAAGAGGGGGCCTGATCACCCCCCTGGGAGGGACTAGAAGGAGCGGGGACCCACAGGAGCCTGGAATAGGCAGGCAGCGATTGCTTAGTACACAGGTCGACTAGCGTGCTAGGGTCATTTAGGAGGTGTGTCCACGCCATCTCGGGGAAAATTATTACCAAGCGATCGCCAGGGGATTTTTAGGATAGGAAACTGGTCCTTGTAAGCTCGTATTCTGCCCTCCCCCAGGAGGTGTCCCGTCTGCTGTGAAATTCTTGACCCCCTCGGAATTGTTAGGCTAGAAGGAGGGGGATACAGAAGTGAGTATGAATTGGCTTTTCCAGAGATGGCCTGGGACGTGGGATATTTAACCCATCTCTGTTTTCACTGGCACCTGATCAAGCCCACCAGGGCAGAATGGACTTTAAGGGAGAAACAGTCTTGGGCCATGTGATGTTCTGATTCAGCTGTGCTGACCGGCAGGTGAAGACATGCTGATCCCCCTTCTCTCTCTGCGATCTGGCAGGTAAGGCTCTTCTCACCCCAATTAGGAAGGAGGCAGAATGGCAATTTAAGTGTCACTGAGTGGAAATATCAGAAGTACATAGGGTACTGACAACTTTGTAGACAGTACGAAAAGGAAAAGCAGAAGAAGGTCTGAGAAGGTAAGCAAGATGGGGGGAAGTGAATCTAAGGCAGCTGTATTGGAGTGCATGATTAAAAATTTAATGAAGGGATTAGAAGGAGACTATGGGGTGGAGATGAAGCCTAAGTGCCTCCACATGCTCTGTGAGGTCGAATGGCCCCTATGGGAGCAGGAAGGCCACCAGAGAACACCGTGAACTCAAAAACAGTGGAAGCAGTCTACACAGTAGTTACAGGAGAGCCAGGACACCTGGATCAATACCCATCTACTGACTCATGGCTAGGGTTAGCTTGAGACCCTCCCACTTGGACAAGGTTCTGTATCCAGAAGGGAAAGAGAAAAATATTAATGGCACAAAAATTGACTGATGATAAAAAAGGAAATTCTACAGAATTTGGACGGGGATGACCTGACCCCTCCCCCATGCTGGATAATAACGCGCCTGCCTCCCAGGGCTTCACCAGGACCGGAGCCCGCCTTAATGCCCGATCCAGGGCCAGGTGAAGTTCCTGCAGCAGCCGCTGCTCCTCCGCCAGCTCTCCCGGAGGTCGTAGAGCCGCCGTTTGGGCAGGCTCCGATCCCGGGGACAGAAGCCTCTGGCCAACACTTCCAGGATCCGGCTCCAACGGAACCGCCCAAGCTATACCCGCCCCTCCCGGTGAGTACTGACAAGAAGGGGAGGGAGACGTTGGAATTAAGCAGAGACTGCGCTCTGCCAGAGAGCCAGAGGGAAGGAAAGAGAACAGACAAGAGACTTACAGTGCTAGCTGCTGCTCTGGGAAAGTCTTATCTCGGGCTCTCCAGGAAACCTCCTCTGCCCCAGGGACAGGACAGTCCTTCAACCGGTCCCAAGGGAGGCCCTGGGCCCGTTACAGCCAAACCAGTGTGCCCGGTGCCGAGCGTTTGGCCACTGGAAGAATGGATGCCCTAAGGCAAGGAAGGAAGAGGAAGCTCC